AAGGCGTTCAGGATTTTTGTTGTCTTTTAAGCCTTTGGAATTTTTAAAATCTTTGACATTTTAAGACATCACGCGATTTTTAGAATCTTTGGCTTTTTGGAATTTCTCTAGAACGTTTAGAATCTTTCAAGTATTCCAAACAGAATTTTAGCTTTTGACCCCTAGAGTCCTTAGATACTCTCTAAAATTTTTAGTCTTTAGAGTATTTTCTTAGAGGATGTATCATTTACCAAAATCAGTCTTATCTTATCAAAAACCTGCCCCGCCCACCCGCCCACTAGTTTCTTAGAAGGTATAGCATCTGCCACAGTCACTCTTGTCTTAGCGAATACTAGCGCCACCCACTCTTTATTTTTTTAAAGAGTATGTGATTTACTAAAATCGGTCTGACGATAATAAGTACTAGCCCCGCCCCCCGCCCTCTATTTTCTTAGAGGGTATGGAATTTGCCCCAATCAGTTTTATCTCAGTAAGTACTAGCTAAGATACAGCTGATTTTGGCAGATGACATAGCCTCTAAGAATAGAAAGGGTGGGTGGACGGGGCTGGTAGCTGCCAAGATAAGACTGATTTTGTCAAATGAGATCCCTTCTATGTAAAGAGATGACTGGTGGGCGGGGCTAGCACCTGCTAAGATAACACTGACTTCGGCAAACGACAGGTAGCTGCTAAAATAATGGTTACAGTCTCCAGGACTTACAAGATAAAATTAGGGTGTTCAAAGCGTCCAAGATTTTTGTTGTATCTAAAATCTTTGGAATTTTTAAAATCCTTGACATTTTAAGACGTCATGAGATTTTTACAAGTTTTAGAATCTTTGGCTTTTTGGAATTTGTCTAGAACTTTTAGAATCTTTCAAGTATTCGAAACAGAATTTTAGCTTTTGACCCCTAGAGTCTTTAGGTTCTTTAGAATCTCTAAAATCTTCAGTTTTTAGAGTATTTTCTTAGGAGATGTATCATTTACCAAAATCAGTCTTATCTTATCAAAAACCTGCCCCGCCCACCCGCCCTCTAGTCTCTTAGAAGGTATATCATCTGCCACAGTCACTCTTGTCTTGGCGAATATTAGCGCCACCCACCCACCCTTTATTTTTTTAAAGAGAATGTTATTTACTAAAATCACTCTGACGGTAATAAGTACTAGCCCCGCCCTTTATTTTCTTAGAGGGTATGGAATTTGTCGAAATCAGTTTTACCTTAGCAAGTACTGGCTAAGATACAACTGATTTTGGCAGATGATATACCTTCCAAGAATAGAGAGGGTGGGTGGGCGGGGCTAATAATTGCTAATGTAAAACTGACTTTGGCGAATGACATACCTTGTAACAAAAGAGAGGGTGGGTGGGTGGGGCTAAAAGCTGCTAGAATAACCGTTACAGTCTCCAAAACTTACAAGGTAATAATTAGGGTGTTCAAGGCGTTCAGGATTTTTGTTGTCTTTAAAGTCTTTGGAATTTTTAAAATTTTTGACATTTTAAGACGTCATGCGATTTTAACAAGTTCTAGAGTCTTTGGCTTTATGGAATTTCTCTAGAACGTTTAGAATCTTTCAAGTATTTGAAACAGAATGTTAGCTTTTGACCCCTAGAGTCTTTAGATTCTTTAGAATCTCTAAAATCTTTAGTCTTTAGAGTATTTTCTTAGAGGATGTATCCATTTACCAAAATCAGTCTTATCTTATCAAAAAGCTGCCCCGCCCACCCGCCCCTATTTTCTTAGAAGGTATATCATCTGCCACAGTCACTCTTATCTTAGCGAATACTAGCGCCACCCACCCACCCTTTATTTTTTTTAAGAGTGTGTCAATTATTAAAATCATTCTGACGCTAATAAGTACTAGCCCCGCCCCCCCGCCCTCTATTTTCTTAGAGGGTATGGAATTTGCCACAATCAGTGTTATCTTAGCGAGTACTAGCTAAGATACAACTGATTTTGGCAGATGACATACCTTCTAAGAATAGAGAGGGTGGGTGGGCGGGGCTAGTAGCTGCCAAGATAAGACTCATTTTGGCAAATGAGATATTCTCCATGTAAAGAGAGGGATGGTGGGCGGGGCTAGCATCCGCTAAGATAACACTGACTTTGGCAAATGTGCTAAAATAATGGTTACAGTCTCCAAGGCTTACAAGAGAATGATAATTAGGGTGTTCAAGGCGTTCAGGAATTTCCCTAGAACGTTTAGAATCTTTCAAGTATTCAGAACAGAATTTTAGCTTTTAACCCCTTAGAGTCCTTAGATCCTTTAAAGCTTTTAAAATCTTTAGGGTATTTAGTCTTTAGACTCTTTAGAGTTTCTCAAAGCTGTGGAAATTTTTAACACTTTGAGAATTACTAGGAGTTTTATAAAACCTAAAATTTCTGCCATTTCAAGCAGCACCAGGTTCTTTACTGAGAGAGATGTCCTGATGGCGATTTCGAATTTGTATTTGGTGGAAGATTATCAACAATTTGATGCCAGTTTTCAGCCGATTGAACAAATTTTATTTATTTTTTTGGAAAATTTAGGAAAATTTTGAATTCACTTTTCGTATTTAGTTAACAAAGTATCGTGACTTCTATTTTAGATTTGTAACTGGCGGAAGATTTTCTACAATTTGGCATCAATTTTCAGCGGATTAGGCTAATTTTAACAATTTTTTTTGAAACTTTTTGACAATTTTGAATTCACTTTTCGTGTTTATTGGAACAGATATCCTGACAACAATCTCAGACTTGAAAAGGGTGGAAAGTTATCTACAATTTGACACCAATTTTCCGTTGATGGAATCAATTTTAATAATTTTTTTGGAAATTTTTTGAAAATTCTGAATTCACCTTTCGCATTTACTGAAAGAGGTATCGTGATGGCGATTTCGAATTTGTATTTGGTGGGAGATTACCAACAATTTGATGCCCATTTTCAGTCGATTGAACAAATTTTAATAATTTTTTTGGAAAATTTTGAATTCACTTTTCGTATTTAGTGAACTAGATATCGTGACTTCGATTTTGGATTTGTAACTGGCGGAAAAGTTTCTACAATTTGGCACCAATAATCAGTGGATTAGGCTATTTTAACAATTTGTTTTGGCAAATTTTTGGAAATTTTGAATTCACTTTTCGTGTTTATTGGAACATATATCCTGTCGGTGATCTCAAATCTATAACCTGCGAAAGGTTCTCTATAATTTGACACCAATTTTCAGTCAATGGAACTAATTTTAACCATTTTTTAGAAAAATTTTGGAAATTTGGAATCACATTTTACGATTTCGGATTTGTAATTGACGGAAGAGTATCGACAATTTGACACCAATTTTCAATCGATTGAACCGATTTGAACCAATTTTTTTGAAAATTTTTGAAAATTTTGAATTCACTTTTCGTGTTTATTAGAATAGGTATCCCTACGGCGATTTCAGATTTGTAACTGGCGAAAGATTATCTACAATTTGACACCAACTTTCGGTGATTGTATCGGGAGATTTAACCACTTTTTTGAAAAGTTTTTTGGAAATTTTGAATTCACTTTTGGTGTTTATAGGAACAGATGCGCTGACGACGATCCCAGATTCGTAACTGGCGGAGAATTATCTACAATCTTCCATTTTGATCATTCATTCTTATTGGCTCTTAAGAACGGAATAGAATCTAGGACTACATTTTTTTAATACAATTGAATTTTTACTAAATTGTTTCATCATTTTTAATTACCAAACAGATAATCTCCTCAAAATTTTTGCATGGTTAACGTCACTTAAATTTTATAAAGTAACATATTCCTATACTTGTGGTTTATGAATCCACCTTGATTTTTTACCCTTCCAGATTTTCCCAAAAAAAAATCAAATTATATAATCACCATTTAAAAAAATGGTTTGAAGTTTCCCTCGTCCCCGAAATACAGTCCAAAAATCCAGTTTTTCGCAAAATTGTAAAATTTTATTTAATGAAATTCGTTATTTTATAACACAATGGCAGGAAAAGTACTCTATCAAATTTTACTAAGTATATAACTTAAATGCCCAAGATAAAAAACTCAAGGCGGATTCATAAAGCATTTAAATGGCGTTTAATAAGCTAAATTTTGAAGAGACGTTTTCAAATTGCTGATTGAGATGATTAGCACAATTTTGAGATAACGTCATCGATTTGTTGGAAGGGTCTAAACGAACAAATTTTGCTTAACGATTATTGTTATTCAGTTTTGAAGTTTTTCCAAAAATTCTATATGTCTAGGGTGAAAATTCGATACGGATTCAAGTGCAGGCGTGACATTAAAAAACACTTTTTATTATAAATTTTGGGGATGACGTCATAAGACATGATATACAAAAAGTAACAACAATCGGTCGGTAGTTTCGGAGATTAGTTGTCTAATAAAAATGGATACAGACACCAGACAGACAGATACACGGAACTGGAAAACGGCATAACAGAGTAGAATCTGGTTGAAAATTATTTTAAGACAATTTATTACAAAACGCAAGCTGAAATCCTAATTAAAAAAAACGCACTAGCAGCAACTTTATTACCCTCGTTGTTTAACACCGAATTGTCTAACCAGATACAGTTAGTAATTCCCGTTATCTGGAACTGTTCATTATTTTGTAACGTTTCGTATGATTTGTTGGCCGACCCTTCCACCATAAAATTTTATCGCAAATAAATAAAATTTAAAATCATATTTTACCCCGCTGAGCAATAATTTACTCTTATAATACCACAATAAATTGGCTTCATCCCCATCTGCTATCTGCCCTCGTAAAAATTATGTTAAAAATCCCTGTTTTTACTGAACAGTTATTGTTTTTCCCATTAATCAACCCCGAGGTCGGCAATATTTGCTAAATGCAGGAAATGAAAACTTGTCAATCAAAATTATGTTTTGAACGATAAAAGTAGTAGGGTTCTGATTGAATGACGGCATTAATTTATTTGTTGGCTGGACTTTGTAAATAATTTGGTCGCTTTACCTGTTTGTTTGGAAACAGGGGGGTTTTTCAAAAATCAGCGTACCTTTTTTTGCGTCTCCGTGGTGGGGGTTGAAGTGAATGTCGGTGATGTGCCAGAAGTATGCTGAAACAAGAAGAAATGTAAAGAAATTTGTAAATACACGTATTGTATTTAGTGCCAATAGCCTGCCGATTATCGTTTTCCCTCTAACGCCACGCAATTACTGTCTGCTTAACACAATCACTTCCAAATAAACCAACATCACGTATATTACACAAAGTTCATTATAACGGATCGACATGATTAATTTACATAAGAGAATTGTTTATCCTGGATCAATTAAATTAATTTATAACGTAATATGCAAGAGTAAGTGCGATAATTAATTCCTGGTTTAGTGGTAATATGTGACGTAAATCATCGACACGAAAACAAACGTGCTTCCGGTATTAGCCCTGATATTGATATATCAACATCAGGGGAAAAACTCGGCTTTCGGCACGTCTGATGTCGTTAGTCATCCGGAAATCGGGCGTCCTTATACACACCGGATTTTTCCGGGTGACCGGAACCGACGCGAAACGACCCACCTTGGCGATACTACGGATTTCGAGTTTTATCTGCGCTGGCCGCTTGTTATTGTTATGATATAGGTTTTCCATGGCGATCGATCGCCGCATCGCTGAAATTCTGTAATGTCTCACGATGTAAGAGAAAATATCGGAGCGAAGAACTTGTAATCGAACAAATGAAAAATATCACATTTAAGAGATTAGTATAAACGAAACTGTAATTCTTGATGGAGTGCTTTTAACAGGATGAAAAGCTTCTTGTGTTGACAGACTTTCCTACATGATGTACTATTCGTTTTCCGGGCCGGCTGCGAGCCACAATAACATTCTACGTTAAACGTATATAATGCCGGGTCTAAATATAAATACAATGATAAAGGATTCCGTGCTGCTGTGTATTTATTTGCTCAGACTTGTCCGGGGGAAGGTCGTAGGTAGACCGATAACAAGAAAATCGACTGAGCCATATAATGAAAAATTACGGTGTTATTTTTTTGCTGAGCTATAAATTACGAAACTCCGTTTTAACTTTTGTTTGTGCTAGAGTTACTAGAGTTCGTATTAAGAGTTTTCAAGATGTTTTTCAAACGCCATTCAAATTTTATAAAATAACATGTATTGTAAGTGTAATATCCTATACTTGTGGTTTATGAGTCCGCCTTGATTTTTTTGCATCATTGCATTTTGTGCGAGTATACGAACACTCACATGTGGGGAAGTCCGTGGTCGTGTTGTAAAAATGTCAAAATTTGAGAATTACGTACTGTATATCCAATAATAATGAAATTATAATTATCATAGTAAGAAATACTTGCCTAAAATAATAAATTATAGGGTTTGTTTTTACTTCCTGAGCGTAAGCAGAGTCTTCCGTTTCCATTTTTTTGGAAAAATTTTAATTCGCTTTTCGTGTTTATTGAAACGGATATTGTGACAGCGATTTTAGATTTGTACTGATGAAAGATTATCTGAAATTTGACACCAATTTTCAATCGATTGAACCAATTTTAACAAGTTTTTTGGAAAATTTTCGAAAATTTTGAATTCACAAACAGCATCTACAATTTGACACCAATTTTGAGTGGATTGAGTCGATCTAAAGCATTTTTTTTTTTTGGAAAATTTTCGAAAATTTTGAATTCGCTTTTCGTGTTGATATCCTGACGGCAATTTTAGATTTGTAACTGATGAAAGATTTTCTGAAATTTGACACCAATTTTCAATCGATTGGACCAGTTTTAACAAGTATTTTGGAAAATTTTCGAAAATTTGAATTCACTAGTAGCATCTACAATTTGACACCAATTTTGAGTGGATTGAACCGATTTAAAGCATTTTTTTTTTTTGAAAATTTTCGAAAATTTCGAATTCGCTTTTCGTGTTTATTGAAACTGATATCCTGACGGCAATTTTAGATTTGTAACTGATGAAAGATTATTTGAAATTTAACACCAATTTTCAATCGATTGAACCAGTTTAAAACAAGTTTTTTGGAAAATTTTTGAAAATTTGAATTCACTAGGAGCATCTACAATTTGACACCAATTTTGAGTGGATTGAACCAATTTAAAGCATTTTTTTTTTTTGGAAAATTTTCGAAAATTTCGAATTCGCTTTTCGTGTTTATTGAAACTGACATCCTGACGGCAATTTTAGATTTGCAACTGATGAAAGATTATTTGAAATTTGACACCAATTTTGAATCGATTGAACCAGTTTTAACAAGTTTTTTGGAAAATGTTCGAAAATTTGAATTCACTAAGAGCATCTACAATTTGGCACCAATTTTGAGTGGATTGAGCCGATCTAAAGCATTTTTTTTGGAAAATTTTCGAAAATTTTGAATTCGCTTTTCGTGTTTATTGAAACAGATATCCTGACGGCAATTTTAGATTTGTAACTGATGAAAGATTATCTGAAATTTGACACCAATTTTCAATCGATTGGACCAATTTTAACAAGTTTTTTGGAAAATTTTCGAAAATTTGAATTCACTAAGAGCATCTACAATTTGACACCAATTTTGAGTGGATTGAACCGATTTAAAGCATATTTTTTTTTGGAAAATTTTCGAAAATTTCGAATTCGCTTTTCGTGTTTATTGAAACTGATATCCTGACGGCAATTTTAGATTTGTAACTGATGAAAGATTAGCTGAAATTTGACACCAATTTTCAATCGATTTTCAATCAGTTTTAACAAGTATTTTGGAAAATTTTCGAAAATTTGAATTCACTAAGAGCATCTACAATTTGACACCAATTTTGAGTGGATTGAGCCGATTTAAAGCATTTTTTTTTGGAAAATTTTCGAAAATTTTGAATTCGATTTTCGTGTTTATTGAAACAGATATCCTGACAGTAATCTCAGACTTGTAAAGGGAGGAAACTTATCTACAATTTGACACCAATTTTTCGTCGATGGAACCAATTTTAATAATTTTTTCAGAAATTTTTTGAAAATACTGAATTCACTTTTCGCATTTACTGAAAGAGATATCGTGATGGCGATTTCGAATTTGTATTTGGTGGAAGATTATCAACAATTCGATGCCAATTTTCAGTCGATTGGACAAATATTGATAATTTTTTTGGAAAATTTTCGAAAAATTGGAATTCACTTTTCGTATTTAGTGAACTAGGTATCGTGACTTCGATTTTAGATTTGTAACTGGCGGAACATTTTCTACAATTTGGCACCAATTTTCAGTGGATTAGGCTAAGTTGAACAATTTTTTGGAAAATTTTTGAAAATTTTGAATTCACTTTTCCTGTTTATTGAAACAGATATCCTGACAGCAATCTCAAACTTGTAAAGTGTGGAAAGTTATCTACAATTTGACACCAATTTTCCGTCCATGGAACCAATTTTAATAATTTTTTTGGAAATTTATTGAAAATTCTGAATTCACTTTTCGCATTTACTGAAAGAGATATGGTGATGGCGATTTCGAATTTGTATTTGGTGGAAGACTATCAACAATTTGATGTCAATTTTCAATCGATTGGACAAATTTTAATCATTTCTTTGGAACATTTTGGAAAAATTTGAATTTACTTTTCGTATTTAGTGAACTAAGTATCGTGACTTCGATTAGAGATTTGTAACTGGTGGAAGATTTTCTACAATTTGGCATCAATTTTCAGTCGATGGAACCAATTTTAATAATTTTTTTGGAAATTTTTTGAACATTCTGAATTCACTTTTTGCATTTTTACTGAAAGAGATATCGTTATGGCGATTTCGAATTTGTATTTGGTGGAAGATTATCAACAATTTGACACCAATTTTTTGTCGATCGAACCGATTTTGACCATTTTTTGGAAAATTTTTGAAAAATCGAAAAATTGAAGAAAAGGAAAATTGAAACATTAATAAACTAAAAAACGAGAAAGTTATCGAAAAAAATTAACGAATCAAAAAATTGGAAAGAAGAAGAAATGAATCTAATCGAAAAGATGGAAATCGAAAATTTGAAGAAATGAAAAATTACAGAAACGGTTTGTACGTCTCCGTGGGGCAGTGGGTGTACGAGTGTACGAGTCACGCCATTTTCTCGAACTGTGAAGAATACGCATTTGTGGGGGTGTGTTGTAGATGAAAATGACGTCACGACACATACATGCAAAATTTGAAAACAATCAGTCCAGTAGTTTAATTTTTTATTTATTTGAAACTTTCAGCAAAACAAGTAATGCCTAAAATGTTTACTTCTTCAAATGATTTGATTTCTCTATTGTATTGTAAGTTGTTTCTGCCTCTTTGTTAAGAGTTCTAGAACCATCAGACATTGGTAAATAATTGTCGATAGCGTCTAAAGCAAAATTAGAAACATTAGTTAAAATAAATATTTCAGTGAAATTAGATACTGTAGAATCAGAGAGGTTAAAATTATTTGAATGTATAATACTTGTTGGTTTAGCATGCAGAGCGAAATTTTTTATAAATCCTCTCAAGAATTCTTTGCAGAATGTGGATCTCCTGTTTCTGTCTGTCTGTCTATCTGTTTGGTGTCTGTATCCATAATTTAAGTAATCTCCGAAACTACTGAACCGATTGTTGTCATTTTTTTGTTTGGATATTAGGGATATTAAAACTGCAAAACCGATTGCTTTGGCCCCTTCCAACAAGTTGATGAGGTTATCTCAAAATTTTGCCGAATAAATCCTATCCAAAATGTGCAAAATATGATTAGTCCATACTTGTGATTTATCAGTGCATTAAAAGTTTTTAAATTTCTCATAAAAATAATGAATGAGTCAGTTTATTTTATTGATTGGATCGGGAACGGCTCACTCCGTTTTCCCGAAAATTGACGTTTCATGGCCCCTAGAATACGCAAACATAGGTCTTTTGTTTCCATCGTTTGTGTCAAGTTTTGTATGTACTTGTATATTGGGAATATCGTGTAGATGGTAAAACTCTAACCAAAATTTGTCTGATAAAAATCGATGACGCCATTTTACAATTTTGTCGAATAAATGTACACAAATTCTAAAAATCTGACCGAATTTGTGGAAAGATTCTAAATGTTGTGAAAGTCCCGAATAT